CGAATATTTATTAATTATATCGTCTTAAATGAATTTATCAAAATCCTTTCTTAGAGGATGCCTAGTGCCTACGTCATAGTAGCTTTATGCATGCAAAGTCTCAGTCCGATCGGTTTAAAATTGTCAAAGTTTCATACAATCTTCATCTCCTATTTTATCCCCTTGGGGGTAGAATTAATCAAAATCCTTTCTTAGCGGATGCCTACCTCATAACATCTACCTGCATGTCAAATTTCAGCCCGATCCGTCCAGTGGCTTGGGCTGTGTGTTGATAGATCACTATGTCAGTCAGTCACCTTTGAGTTATATATATTTAGAAAACTTCTGACACTACTAAAAAAGGACAATGATGATAAAATAATACTTACCAATAGATTTGCCTGGAAGAGATCAGCCGGTTAGCAAGATAAGGCCGCCTTTTGTGTACTCTGTATTGTTTTACCGTGTAATTTCGTTTTGTTTTCCTGTCTGATATGGTGCTATCACGAAAATTGAGTATACCATCTGGATGAGAAAATTTTTTTGACGCCTGATTACAAACTGGAACTCTAAGGGCGCTTGTGCACTACAGTGAATTTTCAGGTCCGGCGGTCCGATTTTTTCCGGTCCGGAATGACATGAAAAACTCGGATGAGTAGCTTGTGCACTTGTCCGTTTTTTTCCTGATCGGAGCGGCGCAGTATAGGGCAGCTCTCTTTGAAGCTACACGTCACTTACGCTAAGTACGATGAGATTTTTGGAACGTCGATAATTGCGTTCGAAGACGTAAAAAGATACCTAAATAATGATCTGATCATTTTACATAAACCATAATAAATTATGGCAAGACGAAAGCATTTTTTTACTACAATCGGGTGACTGCTATGGGCGCTTGTGCACTACACTGAATTTTCATGTCCGGCGGTCCGATTTTTTCAGGTCCGATATGTCAGGCCATATGTAGGTAATGCGCGCTTGTGCACTGTCAGGAATTTTACCATCCGGAATTTTACTTTTCTCTATTCCGGACCGGTTTTTTCAGGTCCGTGATGGCTGCAATGAAAAACGTGTTTACGCTTGTGCACTGCTGTGTCCGAGATCCGGAAAATTCATAAGGAATAGGCTTGGGAAAAAATAATCGATTTGAATCGATATTTATTTCGGCAATAGGCTTGGGAAAAAATAATCGATATTTATTTCGGCAATATTGTTAATTTCCAATAAACTTATAATCGATATTTATTGTTAATTATAAAATGCTATATTTTATATGATGATTTAATATAGTTGGTATATATCACTGCATATGCTTTGGAAAACTCGGTATAGTTCTAATTTGATCAGCATATGGTTCTAGTATCGATACTTAGCTAGATTTTAGAATCGTATTAAAAGTTTCGATAGCTTAAGTAAGATAAATAAGTGTTGTTACGTTTAGACAACTGAACCCATCTAAATGGAAATTAATATAGTAAATCGACTTAACTTTAAGACCTTTCTTAAAGTTAAGTCTATTTGCTATATTAATTTAGGCTACATTTTATTGCGAAAAAGGGGATGAAAGTTTGCCTGGAAATTTGTCATTATCAATTTTTTTTTAAACAATTGATAAGTATAGATAAATATTTGACAACAGAAGTAATAATAAAGAATAAACAGAAGATTAACAAAAGTAATTAAGTGACACTCAATGTCTTTTTCGCATTTAATAAAATTTTAAATGTATTTTTGTGCCATTAATAATTAAAAAAAAAAAGTATTCTAAGGGAATAATATTTCTGCTCAAAGAAACTACACCACGCGTATAAAATTATGCCTATATATAATACAGTCAACTGATCTCGTAAAGTTCATTTAGCATAATAATTCTCCGCTAACACGGCATCAATTTTGATTTGTTTACGAAATGGCGCCACTGATTGGTCTATCTCTGTAATCGCTGAAAGTTGTTTTTACAAAACTTCGAAAAAAAATAGCACATTTAAAAATTTAAACATCAAGTACTAGAGTACAGTAATTTTATTCTAATGTCAGATATTTTTAGCTATTGTATGTGAATAATGCTGTTCCTAAATTAGTAAGGGTATAAGTTTTTACATCTGATAGTAGTCATCCGATAGTAGTAAAAAAAATGCTTTCGTCTTGCCATAATTTATTATGGTTTATGTAAAACGATCAGATCATTATTTAGGTACCTTTCTACGTCTTCGAACGGAATTACCAACGTTCCAAAAATCTCATCGTACCTAGAATAAGTGACGTGTAGCTTCAAAGAGAGCTGCCCTACACTGCGCCGCTCCGATCAGGAAAAAAACGGACAAGTGCACAAGCTACTCATCCGAGTTTTTCATGTCATTCCGGACCGGAAAAAATCGGACCGCCGGACCTGAAAATTCAGTGTAGTGCACAAGCGCCCTATCAGATGTAAAAACTTATACCTTTACCTACTAATTTAGAAACAGCATTATTCACATACAATAGCTAAAAATATCTGAGACATTAGAATAAAATTACTGATAATGGGATAGTACTTGATATTTAAATTTATAAACGTGCCATTTTTTTCCAAGTTTTGTAAAAACAACTTTCAGCGATTACAGAGATAGACCAATCGGTGGCGCCATTTCGTAAACAAATCGAAATTAGTGCCGTGTTAGCGGAGAATAATTATGCTAAATGAACTTTACGAGATCAGTTGACTGTATTATATATAGGCATAATTTTATGCGCGTGGTGTAGTTTCTTTAAGCAGAAATATTTTTCCCTTAGAATACTTCTTTTTTTTTTAAATTTATTTATGACACAACCATTCATTTCAAATTTTATTAAATGCGAAAAAGACATTGAGTGTCACTTAATTACTTCTGTTTATTCTTTATTATTACTTCTGTTAAATATTTATCTATACTTATCAATTGTCTAAAAAAAAATTGATAATGACAAATTTCCAGGCAAACTTTCATCCCCTATTTTTCGCGATAAAATGTAGCCTATGTCCTTTCTTAAAGTTAAGTCTATTTACTATATTAATTTCCATTAAAATGGGTTCAGTTGTTTAGGCGTCTAAGCGTAACAACACTTATTTATCTTACCTTAACCTATCGATACTTTTAATACGATTCTAAAATCTAGCTAAGAATCGATACTAAAAACATACGCTGATCAAATTAGAACTATACTGAGTCTGCCAAAGCATATGCAGTGATATATACCAACTATATTAAATCATCATATAAAATATAGCATTTTATAATCTACAATAAATATCGATTATAAGTTTATTGGAAATTAACAATATCGCCGAAATAAATATCGATTCAAATCGATTATATTTTCCCAAGCCTATTCCTTATGAATTTTCCGGATCTCGGACACAGCAGTGCACAAGCGTAAACACGTTTTTCATTGCCGCCATCACGGACCTGAAAAAACCGGTCCGGAATAGAGAAAAGTAAAATTCCGGACGGTAAAATTCCTGACAGTGCACAAGCGTGCATTACCTACATATGGCCTGACATATCGGACCTGAAAAAATCGGACCGCCGGACATGAAAAATCAGTGTAGTGCACAAGCGCCCTTACTCTTATATAGGATTTCTTTCGGTATTAGGTTTCGATAGGTTGATTTTTTGATATCGATGTCGCTGTTCGTTCTATATCGATACGTTTAGATATTTTTGGGCATCGATATATATCGGCATTCGATATATCGTTGCATTCCTAGTAGGGATGTTTGATATTAGAAAAACATCGATGTTGACATCGATGATTTTTTGTAATAATTCACAAAGAAATACAATACAATGAATCTTTCGAAATTTATTAGGAAACAGAACATATCAATATTTTATATCAACTGATTGAAGGAAAACTTTTTGATAAGGAAGAACTTTTTAATCTATTTCTTTATTGATAAAGAGTAGAACCAACTTTTCTAAACATTTATCTAAAATATGTATTTCAAGATATGTATCTATTACATACACAAAAATTCTGTTTTCTTTTTATCAAAATTTCGATGGTTTTGGTAATACTGATTAATTTAAATTGATATTAATCTAATCAAATATTAAATAATGCATTGGTCTTGCGTGAGGCCGTGAGTTAACATTGATGATTGATTTTGTTAAAATCGATGTTAAGACATTGATATTTTTGCTTTCAACATCGTTGATTATCAATAATCGATCAACACTATTTGGAAATATGAAATAAGAAAGAGTTTAGTTAGAATATTTTTCACGAAAGAAGTCCCACTGCATAATTCTTATTCCTTTGTAATTAAAGCGAAAACATTGTGATCCGAGGGACTTCTTTCGTGAGACGAACTTTAGTTCAGCATACGTCATCATCACTCACCGAAAAAAAGAATCTTCTTGAATACCTTCAATGCAAAACAAAATCAGCAAGTAGTTAGTATTGTTATCTTCTTACGGGCAACTTATTAAATTTTGTTCTCTAAAACTTATAAAATCGTAAGTCATTGCAGTACGTTATCGGTTAATTATAGGGTACCAAAGAATGCTGAAGTCGACAGATTTATTTTTAACTTCCTTTGAAAATGCAAACAAAGAAAAAGCTGTTGATTTGGTTACTCCCGTCATGAGTGCAACCGGTGACATCTAGTGGAAAATAATTGAACTTTATATACGAGATCATTTAGCTAGTACATCTAGAGCACGTTAGATAACCCTAAGGTTATATTGATATTTTATTCATAACATAAACATCGATGTTTGGCCAGGAACATAGATTTGCCGATGTTATCGAAGTTAAAAAAATAATGTTTTCTAGCTGAACATCGATGTTTATTAAACATCGATTAATATCTACATCCCTAATTCCTAGTCCTAGATGTTTTTGCAAGACTTCTCAAAAATTATACAAAATTTCCGTGTATAACGGAACAAGTCCATACTGAAAAAAAAAAAAAAATATTACAAACAAAATATTTATTTCCGTGTATAACGGAACAAGTCCATACTGAAAAAAAAAAAAAAAAAAAACTGTATGTTTTATGTAATAATAATTTTATTTTTATCCCACACTAGCTGATCTGGCGAACTTCCTACCGCCATATGCTCGTTTTTTCTTATAAATTATATCTTTTTATAAATTTTCTTTTATATAAACCTTGTCCTGACAATATGGAACACATTAAAAAATTATCATTCAATTTGGTGCAGTCGTTTGGAAGTTACGCATACATTTTGGTGATTCAGTTATAATAATAATAGAAAGTTTGTATTACAGACATTGGATTGTAACACAACAAACTTAGAGCATGGTCTTTTGAGCAATTGTTATCAGATATTTTTTAGAATCTTGAATGGGTGTAACTAAAAATGCATAAAACAATAATTACAATTATTTCAGCAGTGCTAAATTTGTGATATTGTGCTTATTGTTAAAATTTTAGTAGTAATATTGTTAAAAGTTTTATGTTAGAGCCATGGAAACTGTTGTATTAGATGATGAACCTTTAACTAGAAGTCAAGGCGAGAATGCTATTATTGATTTAGATGAAGAACCAAGTGATGATGTCATTGAGATAGTTGAAATACCTGATGATGGCTATGAAACAAGTTTTCCTGATATATCCAAAAAAGATGCAGCTTTTGGAGAGCTAATAGAAAAATGCATAGCCTTAGATGGCTCTGTGGGAATGTTAAGAGTTATCAACCGGACACTCGTGCCTCTGTATAAAGATGGTGAACGTAAATTCAAATCTTATTATGATGCACAAGTATTCAACAAAGCACTCATAAGAACCTTAGAGAATCTTGAGAATGATCCAAAACACAGATATTCACATATTAAACATATCTGTGACATTCTTAAAAAATTACGATCTAAGAGAAAAGTACCATTAGTCACAATATCAAAGGATATCAGAGGTACTGATGTGTGTTATTATCAATTTCTTTTGATGAATATAAAATAATTAACCAAAAAAATATAAAATGAATATAAACAGATATACTGTTTATATTCATTTTATATTTTTTTTCGGGTTCCATAGTCCAAAGAACCCTATTACTACAACTCCACTGTTTGACACTATGCTGCCTTATGACCTTTGATAGTTAGACGTTTGAAAGTTATTTTTTATGATTTTACTTTTGGCCCACCTATGGATATTTGGCTGGAAACTATATTACAACATAGGACATACTCTGTTTACTGCGTATAATGATTTTTGCTAGTTTATGACTATGCTAGCAACCCTGTCGAAACCCTATCTAAGAAAAGTAAAAATAGGCTTTTGTCCATCTAAGAAACCTTATATATACAAGAAAAAGCAAAAATAGGCTGACTCCCTAATTTTTTTGTTATGTGAAAATTTAAAATAATAATGAGAATTGTTTTTTTTTTTTCAGTTCGTGTTAATTTAAATTGTAAATTTTTTTATGATTAAATGAAATTCCATGACAGTATATCATTTTTTCAGATACTTCGAGAAAAAGAAAATACAGTGAAAAAAAACATTCCAAACCAAAAATAGTAGGTAATGTTATACATTTGGACGATGATGAGTGTGAGGTCAATATCATTGACAATGAAGTCCCTTATGCTGTTACTGATAATAATGGTGAAGAAGAAAATACTATTGTAGATACTGACGTCACACATTTGGATGACTACGATGATGAGTGTGAGGTCCCCATTGTTAACGGTGAAATTCCTTGTTCCAACGCTAATAATAACAGTGAAAAAGAAAGCACTTTTGCAGATAGTATCGTCACTGAAGATAAAACAAATAGTACTTCAGGAAAACATTTTATTGAAATAGATTTTTCAAATGTAATTTTTGATTCAGATATGTTTAATGATCATTTGCCGTATGTACATGACTCTGTTGAACCTGTAAGCAGTAGCACTCCAAATGTGTCTGAGAATACTATTAATGAAACTAGAACACTCACTTTGGACTATCATGAGGGAGAAATCAGTGCCAATGATGTCACCAGTAGCACAAATAATATGCCCGATAAAGAAGCTAGTCCAATAATTGTGCAAGAAAATGACATGCACAAACAAGAGTTGAGTGTTGAAGAAAAAATAATGGACATTGAAAAAAGAATTGCAAAATTAAAACAACAGATAGATCATTATAGTACACAAGAGGTGACTGATGACTGTGATTGTTCTCCGTATATTCAATGTGATCGGTAAGCTCTTTAATTTAAAACAAATAGATTAAACTGTATTTACATTATGGTTACTCACAATTATTGAAATTAAATATGTTTCCATAGTTATCAGACACAGTTAGTGAAGCTGTATGAAGAGTTATGCAACCTCACGGGATGTCCAACTGTGAAACGTCGAAGAGTACGGCTACGTGCGATCGATTCAAGACCAGAGCTGCCAATGAAAAAGATTGAACAACTGATAAACAATAATATTGGACCAAATGGCCTGCCACATTTCCCTGATTATGAGGAAGTAGAGCAGTGTGTTAAGGAAGCTAATTATGAAGCCCAATTAGGTTGGGACAGTAAACGTATTGAGTTTGAAGGTTAGTAAACTAATTTTCATTTTGTTAACGAGATTGTTAGATGACACTGTTCTTGTCTGATGGACATCTTTAAATATGGATAACTCTATGCGTCTGTAAAGCCGCCAAGCGTTCAAGTATTACGTGATGCAATTTAGAAGGGGATCTTGTAAAGCGTCACGCCACATCATAATGGCAAAAAAAAAATAGGTTTGGTCACTTGAGTGTTACATAGCGTTTGGGGGGGGGGGGGGGGGAAGGGAAGTGTTACAAAAGCGTTACCGCGCGTTGCATGGGGAAGGGAGGGTAAATATTTATTTTTCACCGAAATATTTCCTTTTGTAGCTTATTTAAATTAAAATAAACAAGTATTTATTTTCAAACAGATATCCCTGTTTATTTTAAATCGAAGAGGGTGGGTTTTCATAAATATTCTTTACAGCTCGAGGGCTGTACGTTCACTGCGGCCGCGTGCTGCAGCGTACTCGTCAGAAGCGGGAGTGGCGAGACTTGATGAGCCTCGTGAAAGATGAATCCCTTGAAGATCCAGCCGACAAGGACCCCGAGCTTCAGGCACGGCTCACCATGAATAAGCTCATTGCCAATGTTAAGGAACACGACGTATTAGAACGGTGAGTCTATTTTGTTAACAGCGAATATGGTCTGGTGAAGAGGTCGATGGCGCATGTTGTCAAGCAACTTTCGTAAGGGCCGGTCATAGGATACCAAAAATTTATTATCTCGAATTCCTCCGTGCTCCGGAAGGCACGTTAAGCTGCTGGTTTGCCGGCGGCAGCTGCAGTCGTTAACACCCACCAGACCGCACTGGGCATAGGACTATGTCCTCTTGGTCTTTTCCCCTGGATCATTCACACGAATTTTTGAGGTAGTTTCCCCTCTTCCTAGCAATTTGCTTAAAAATTCGAGAATTCTACACAAACAAACAGTGGACGTCCTGGTAATGTGGAGTTCTCTTAGGATTACTTCGTCAGTGAAATGTATTAAATGATATATCAACTGGTCTTTTATATTTATGTCATCATCATCAGCTCTTTTACGTCCCCACTGCAAAGGCTTAGGCCTTCCTTATGGATGGTTAAGAAAGATGGGCCAGCAATCGTCACTCATTGCTATTTCAAATTTCAGGTATAACACTATGGAAATGAATGCGGTTAGATCTCCAAAAAGTCATGTACAATGGCCAGCTGACGAAATGGCATTGCAATATTATTATGAAACGAATATCAACGATACTAATAATATTACCGAAAAAGAAGACTCGACAAATGAAAATGTAGATAATAGTCAAATTAAAATAATTGATGTTTACTCCTGTAAGAGGGTTGTTAGTACAGAAATGTTGACTGCAACTGAAAACAATATTCACAGAGTTGAATCTGTTCAATGTGATTCAACTAAACAACAGGTTGAACAACACAACTCAATTTCTACTCCTATGAGTTCTGATGTTAATGACAACTTTAAAGACTGTTATTCAAATGAGTACCATGACAGTTCTGCAATGGATATTGAAAATAACAATTTAGATGGACATAATGAAAACTTAAGTCAACTGAGTGGCGTGAAATCTAATCACATAGAACTTATCAGTATAGAAAATATCGATGATAATGAAACACAGAATAATACTGAAAATGTCTCCAATCTAAATGGAAATATTCTACAAAATGTTTCCAATAAAGAAAACTATGTACAGACAGATCCTTCTCTGTGTCAAAAAATTAAAATTGAAGAGAATGATGACAGTCAAACAGACAATCAATATTTAGAGTCTAGGAACATCAATGAAAAAAGTCACAATGAATTTCAAACAAATGTTTATAGTATAAAAGAAAACGACAAAGGGACTAATTTGAATGGAGAAAGTGAGAAAAACCGTACAGTAATAGATACATTACATTTTAGAATAAAATTTGAGCAAAATGAAAATAGTCTACCAACAAATAATCAACATTCAGAAACTTGGAAGGACGCTAGCATGAATAATCGCGTCGCTGAGAATACAAAAGATAATATTGACTATAATAATAAAGAAAATACCAAACAAAACCATAATTTAGAAAATATTAGGGAATCTCCATTATTACAACTTCCGATTAAAGTAGAAGGAAATAGTAATCTAATAAATGATAACGAATCGGTAAAATATCAGAACAATTTCAATCCTGAAAACTTTGAAACGAATCATAATATTTCTACAAATAAAACAGCTAATATGACTCTTATTAAATCTGAATCAGAAGCAATAAGAGAATTAGAAGATTTAGGAGACAACTTTACAATGACCATTTTAGATATAATCGATCCTTCTCTGATAATTGAGATATCAGATAGTTCTGATGATGAAGATGATACCTTAGATTAAATGTCTGTAAAAATGGATAGTTTACAAATGACAATTATTTTGGTTTTGTATTATTGTTGTACACATTTCTATAGCATATCACCAAAGATATAATTTGATTAATTTAAAAACATCACTTTGTGACGTACAATACATATAGACTGACTACTGTGGTTTATTTTGAAAAAAAAAATGGTGTTTGAAAAAAAAAAGTATTAAATATATAAGAATGTCTTAGAAGTAATTACTATTTTGAATACAAAATCTTCCAATGTGATGTAGATATATAGAAAAGTAATAGTTTACTTTCAATACAATTAATATGTAAATAATGTAAAAGTGAAAACTTGGACATGAGCTAATGAAATGAGTATCAGTGCCTTATAATAATTGTAGTTTATAACGTAAGCGATGTGATTAAATTGAATGGAAGAAACTCTCACTTGTATAAAAAAAATTAAAAAAATTACGAATAAATATTATTATATATTCCTAAAGAGCATCAGTATTGCTAATAAAAAAATAAATCAGAAAAATATAAAAATTATTAACTTATTGATTGGTAAAAAATTATAAAAAAAAACTTTATTTTACTTACTTCACACAATCATTTATTTTTCATATAACGCAGTATCGACATAAATTTTTCACAGAATTCTTTTCACATAAAGTTATTGTTTAAGGTCCCATTACAAGTCCCTAGCATACACTGGATCAATCTATTGGATAGTGTTATCGTATTTCTTTATTTTTATAATGTTATTTTTTAGTTTCATTTTTATATATTCTCGATAAGACATTGTTTTTTATTGTGCCCATGTAAAACATTCTATATACTGATTTCACAGAAAAATAAAGTAGGTACATAAATGTTTAGTAACGATATTTATTTATAATTATTGATGTATTAGCTTTTTCATGGTTATTATTTATGGAATCGGACGTTAATAATGAGACGAAAATCTTTGATACAATCATCTCTAAATATAAAGAACCCGGAACTCACGTACCCGCCATCTTAATACGATATCTTAATTTGATAAATCACAAAATTTGTGACAGTAATTTTGTCACAAATTTTGAAGAAATGTAAATTAAATTTGTAAAGTAAAAATAAACTTATAAAATGTGAAAAATATAACTTTGTATATACAGCAGCAGTTATGTGTACATTTTGGACTGTCTATAGATTAGGTGGCCTTGTATATTACCATGAGCCGTACTGCCAACTACCTTACATGGACATCCATAGGTTGAATCTCATGTAATGGGACAGTTGCTCATATTTGCATGTTATTTAGTTTTTAAGAGGCTGAATAGTGCCAAATCGATAAAATTGATCTAGGATTGTACTAATTCACGGGAAACCTATGGTAATCCAAAAATTTGTGGTTATACTTGATTGTATTTCTGATCTTGTGGTTGAAACCGAAACATGATTGTATTAACTTCACTCGATAGAAAATAATTCCAAAGTAGCATCTAAAAATATTGCGAAAGGCACGTTTCTCAATTATGTGATACATTAGAGTAATGATATTGAGTACAAATATGTATCAAAGGTTGATATAAAAGTTGGTTATTCCCAAGTTTTGATAATGTTATTATAATAATTAATATAATTTATTTTGTGATATGGCACATATGGTCATTTTTTTCAAGCAACTTTAAAGTATTGACATTTCTGTCACTCCTACTGCAATTGACAGGGAAGGCTATAGAATAACGCACACTAACTTAGTTCACGCTGAGGCGTGTTGCTAGATGGACCTATGTTGCTTTGTGCAGCGTTCTGACGTACCGAGATCGCTAAAATTGTAAAAAAAAGAACATTTAAAATAAGTATTTTAATTTCGCTCTCGTTTTAACAATATCTTTGGTGTAATGTGCTAGGGTAGGGACCCGAGTGTCTCGAAGTTGTAAGTTCTAATCCCACTAGAGCTCGCATTTTTTCAAGTCGTTTTTTTATTATTTTATTCTAATTTTCATTTTTTTTTCTGCCATAATTTTAAAAAGCAACTTTTTATTATTATTATTATTAAACAGTATAAAATGTGAAAATAAATATTTCGTTAGTATGACGTAGGCAAAAGTCAGACTGACATTTTCATACAAAAGCCCCGATATTGATGAAATAGTTCCAATAAAATACATGTTCGTGTTCCAATCCCATCAAAGAAGCATTTTTGTTTTACTTTTATCTTTTTTTCCCCGATATATTTTCCTCTCTCATTTTTTATAGGTATATGTTAATCATTAATAATTCGTTAAAATAATTTTAAATATTATTTTATACAGTAATTAAGCATTATTTAATTATCTAGTCTAGTTGATAAATTTAATTGCTGTAAAAATATATAACATAAAATTTGACAATAGGTAAATATTTCCATAAAAGTATGTGTTTGCATAAGTTTGACATTTTCATGCAAAAACCATCCCGTAGACCGTTACTTTAGTAAAAAATAATTCCTAATCAATCATATTGTGTAAATAAAATAGTTCAATAAATAGGTATTACTTTATAAAACAGATAAAATAACGGAATTAGTTACTATTGAATGAATTTGAAAATTATGGAAACAATGTACTAAATAATAATGTACAGGTTTTTCACAGATTTTACTAAAGTTTGGTGTGGCGCAATGTTCTATGTGCTGGTCACTAGGTACTCATTGTGCCGCAGATCAAAACCAAGTTTCATGTTATCTTTTTTTTACCCAATATTTTTATTATGAGAAATATAATATTAAAAATTATTTATGTGTTTATACTAAAATATAAATTATTATATTTAATAATTGTATAGATATTATTTTTGACATTTTCATGGAAAAACGACTGGATAAATTTCGCGGTAATTTGATACAAAATACCTCTAGATATCCTTTATTGGTTTGCAAACTATTGCAGTACGCAACAGGCGTAGCCATACAATTATTGATAATGAAAAACGAAGATTTTTCTGTAAGGTAAATGTACAGTGTTCCGGACTAGTACACAATTTTAAACGATACTCAATAGACTATAGTTGTATTGCAACCAAAATAATACAATTTTAAGCATACTTGGTAATTTTGATAGTGGATTGGGTAGTTTCGATAGTGAAACGTAAAGCACGAATTTGCAGAATCATTGAAATTTACTTTGAAATAAAGAAAGAAAGAAAATTTATTGACCACACCTACATGAACACAATGATAATATATAAGAGAAGAAAAAAAAAAAACAAAAATACAAATATAAAAAAATAATAATAATAATAATCATATCTAGGCTGATTTTGAGTAATAAAATCGCATAATTATCTTAACATATCAAAATTAAAGGTCCAGCCTTTTTGTTTATTCATCATGTGACTTAAAAACATAACCCACCATTACGTGACGACACTTCGTTAGAATATTTTCTGAATCTGACATCTGTCAGTAGTTGTAAAAAAATAAATAAACAGCAGCCGATTTGACAGAAAAAGCAGATTCCGAGATAATACTGTTCTTACCTTATTTAATATTATTATTTTGTCGAGATCGTTAGATAACACCGTTTTCGTTTGAATAACATCATATTTAGTTTTTTTATATATAGGATCAAACAGTTATGCAAATTTATATGAACATAAAATTGAAACATTAATAAACACATAGTTCCCTACATTACATTTGTTAAATTGGTTGATTGTTAAAAATAATTTAATCTGTTTGTACATTACTGTTATTTAATTATTATTATTGATATTTCAATCTGTACATAACAGAATATCGTCATGAATATGGCAGACGGTGTTTTTATGGGTGTAAAAAAGTGGAATTATGATTTAAGTTTAAGAAAAGAAAACGTTTTTGATTTTTTGGAATATTTTTGTTGTCGATTATAAACACTTACAAGTACCAAGTAAGTACTTTTGCAATCAGAGTATAACACCCTATTATAAAAGCCGTGACAAGTTTTCGAACGTGACTGATACGATCGCACCGCTATTTCGTAAGACGTCGTTCTTTGACTTTCTTAAGATACTGGTAAATTTATTGAAATAAAATTTGTGAAGTCGTTTTAGCCATTAATTGTTATCAACAGAAGGTTTTATAATTAGAAAACATTTTTTTTTTAAATCTACTTTCCGTATCACGGACGCAAACCTGTGGCGTATGGTTACCGTAATAATTGAAAATCGCTCCAAAATGTTACTAAATTTTATTCCTGAATTCGGTAATCAGCATTGATTATTGCGACGACGTAATTGTGACCTAAGCACAGAGTTGAGGACAAGCTCGACATTCAAAGAAACGGGTGATTCTCTAGAATATCTAATCAGGACTCTGGGTCTGGGCAATCCCATTCTGAAAAGGGCAGGTTAGTGTAACTGGTCGTAAGGGCAGGTAAGTGTAAATGATAAAACCAGCTACGGTTCACCTCACATGGATGCATAAGTTCAGTATCGGTATGAATATCGGAATCTTAGAACAAATTGTTGATACCTGGGAGAATTCACACAACGTTTTAGGTGTTTTCTGTGACGTACTTAAAGCTGTCAATTTTGGTGTTCATGAAATATATAACGAATCTTCATATTATGAATTTAGAGATATCTAGTTAGATTTTGCTGTCTCTTAGTTCAGTGGCTTTGTAGGAGGTTCATATCGGTGACAAGAAATCCCCTGAATCGATAGATCAACATCTATCATGGGTGTTTCACAGTGCTCGATGCTTCTTTTTTAATTTATATAGACAAATTGCCTCCTTTGGTAAAGGATAATCACGAAATAAATTTGTTTACAGTGACAATTCCGTGAAGTATAACTTCACTCTTATTTAAAATTAAAAGAGGACGACCAGTTAATGACGGTGTGAATAGTTCTATTCTCAAAGTAGTACATTGGTTTAATATCTTATGTGTTATTCACGTTGAATTTTAAGCCTTTCATCACTCATAATCTTGCTCCATGACTATCGCTTCATTTGCAGATTGAATGGATTCTATGTAAGCACTATGGTAGGTATCATCTGCATAAAGAAAGCAGCTTTAAACTGGCGATCCCAACGAAATTCATAAATTTTATTCTATAGAGGCAACTATTCAAACAATGTGTTGCTCAATAAATATCTAGAACAACCTCAAATAAGATGAAAGGTTGGGATATAGTAAGTTTTTGTTATTGTTTCATTTGGTCGTATAACTTTTTACTGAGGTTATGTTTGGCCAAAATACTTGTAAAGATTCATTACACCGTTATATTATTTGCCACTAGCTGGTGCCCGCATCTTCGTTCGTGTTGTTTCATACCAAAGATTTTGTAAGCTTAAATTGTATGTTGTGGATTGAGTAGGTTATAACTTAATGAACCTGTAAAGGTAGAATTCTTTTTGTACCAAAATTCTACAGTCTGCTGACGGTGCCAACGGTATATACGATTAACAATAATATTTAAGATGAAATTTATAAACTTTA